CTGTATAAAATGATAATAAGACCAGTACTCGAATACCCTTGTGTCCCCAATGTCCTTAACAACAAAGCCCAACATGCAAACGGTTAAAAAAGGGTCCAGAATAGAGCTCTTTCGTTTTATTACCGATACCAGGAGGAGAGACAGAGTTAAAATGGCAGATTTACACATACAACAAGAATTACTGCCATAAATGTATGCCTTGACACCCTAAAAAAGAAACAACTTTATACAATGCAAGAACTATACAGCCAGATAGAGAACATCCTATACAAGTGGTAAATACCACAGATTATACAATCAATACTCCTCCTCACAGGACTCAAAGAATGACTCTCCCACAGAGGGTCCGTCGTTTTTTTTCATAAAGAATGATTACCCTCGACCCATGATATTGAGCAACCTCCCTGATAAGAAGATTGGGTACCACCAGAACCCTTCTATGTATACTGAGAAAATCATCCCCCCCAAATTAGGAGACATCTTATATAACTTTCTAATGAAAAAAAATTTTGCTATTTACTTATGGCTGGCCCACCACCTATAAGAAGCCATTGTCATGAAATTATAAACTGGCCAGAAAATTATTGCCCCTTCATTGTCGCATAAATATCCGTGTGCAATCGCAAAAAAAAAAAAAAAAAAAAAAAAAAGCAATTGCAACTTGTAATAATACTACCAATCAGAGTCATGTACTAATATACCTATTATATCATGTGACTCTGATGGTTTAGTATTATACCCCTTAAAGAATATCTTATCATTTCACATACACTTTTTAAATTAAACCAAAGTGGTTGGGCCCCCTTACCTTTTTTATTAACCTACCTCCCCCCCCTCCCACCCTTTCCAAAATTTCCATCCTTACCCATCCTTTTTCGTTTCCCATCTTACCAAAGCTCTGGGGCATAAGAAGAAGAAGAAAAAGACCTCAGCACACCACTCACCTTTTTTCCTTCATTAGTTCTTTGGTTAACCTTCTCCTTCATTAACCCATCTGCTGTCACATCTACTCTCATATATCTGAACACATCCACTTCTTCCATACCTAAATCATTTGATACCCTCATCACCTTACTCTATCCGTATTCATTTTCAACTTTCTTTCTTTACCACACCCTCCCAAACTCTTCCTCTAACCTTTGCAACTTCTCATTAGAATCTCTCAAGAGCACAGTAATCATCAGCAAAAAATATCTGTGAGAACATCCATTTTGTATTTGATTTCCCCCTAATTTAATCCCACCCCCTCCCCCCCAACATCCTAGCATTTACTTCTTTTACAACTCCCCTCTTTAACCCTTTAAAGGGGTTTTTGTCGTACTAGTACGTCTTACGCGTAGGGGTTTTTGACGTACAAATAAATCATAAATTCTAGCGGCCTCAAATCTAGTGGAGAAAGCTGGTAGGCCTTCAATGAAAAAAAATGGGTCTATGTGGTCAGTGTGCACAGTCTAAAAAAAATCCTGCAGCACACAGTGCATAATGAGAAAAAAAAAACTTTGACCATTTTTTTTTAATAAATCAGCGACTTTAGCAGTGTATTTTCGTATGGTATTTATTTTTGTAATTCTAGTTTTCTTGGTATCAAATTTTTTAGAATGGAAGACATATTTCTGAAATTGAGATGAATTTTGACTGGTTTTACAATGAAAGGTGCCTTGAAATTGAGCTCAAAGTAGCAGAAATGTTCGATTTTTACCAAATTTCAAAAGTAAACAAATCGTGCCAAGCGGCAATACACGTCAACTGGTGAATCCCATATTCTTTCACAATGCACCAAAAAATTTATACCATTTTTTTACACAAATGCAGTAGTCTGTATAACATAAATCCCTTATATTTTTGTGAGAATAAAAATTCAAAGTGGAAAGCAAAAGAATATAAGAGGGGCCTTGAGACGTGACTAATGACTAGAGGAAATGTCATTTTAGTGGGCCCGGAATGTCTATCTTGTTTATTCTGGACGCTATTCGGAAATTGGCATCTTTGAAATTTGTTTTGAAATTGGCAAAATTGGTAAATTCTGACCACTGTTGAGGATGTTTAATTTTAAAATGGGTGATCTTGCAACCATTCGATAGAAAAAATGGAGTTCTAGCGAAATATTCATGTTTTTTTTGTCGACTATACAGTGAAATTGGCTGAAAATGGGGCTCAAAGTGGGCAAAATCGCCGATGCATAAACATCGCCGAGACCGCTAACTTTGCGAGAGCATAATTCTGTAAGTTTTCTAATCAAATTTCAAACTTTTGGTGTCGTTATGATCGGGAAAGATTTTCTATCTTTTTATAAGAGAAAATAAAATTTTTTTTTTTTTAAATTTGGCCGACCCTGAGAAACGAGTTTCGGAGAGGGCCTGTCCGACCCTCAAAGGGTTTAAAATTAAACAACCATGCTGATATTAAAACACCCCTGTCAAGTGTAGTTGCTGTAATTTATTGTTTTCTCTTATTTACAGATGTGAATTCCCAAGTGCCTGAAAGAAGTCAATCCCTGAGTATGTTATGTGCTTGTTTCCAAGCTCTTCCTCATGGATCTTTCACCATGGAAAGTCTTGATGTTTCTCTACATTCAGATTCCCTTCCTTCTCTATGAAGTAAGTTTTCCCCATAAGAAATAATGGAAATCAAATTAATCCATGCAAGACAAACCCCAAAAATAATTTAAAAAAAAAATTTTTTTACCACATGAAATATTAATTTTAATACACACAAAGTGAAGAAGACATGTACAAATTTCAGATCTGGTGATGATTGATGGGATGGGAGGAGGGGAGACTGTGGATGGGTGTTATGTTTAGAAGGGGAATCCCCTTTCCCTTAGGACTTGAGGTGTCAAGCCTTTTCCGGGGTTACTTTCCCTTCTTCTTTTAATGCCACTAAGACCAGCTTGAGAGTCACTGGACCTCTGTCGCACAACATATCTGTCCATAGAGGCCTGTACCTCCCGTTCCTTTATGACATTCCTAAAGTTTTCACAACATTGTCAGTGTCACAATTAAACACTTGTTCAGGTTTCAGTTCTTCACTGTCTATGTACTCCTTGAATTCCTGCACATATTTTTCCAGGCTGGAGGCAGTGGAGATGTCATGTCTGAGAGCAATGTGTGGTGTGAATATAATGCAGATAATTCTTAGTTTGGAAGTTAGGAGGAGGTGCGGGATTACCAAAACTGTTGTCCAAGGGCTGGGAAGGGTTGTTGAGGTGGTTCGGACATGTGGAGAGAATGGAGCGAAACAGAATAACTTCAAGAGTGTATCAGTCTGTAATGAAGGAAGGCGGGTAGGGGTCAGCCTAGGAAAGGTTGGAGGGAGGGGTAAAGGAGGTTTTGTGTGCAAGGGGCTTGGACTTCCAGCAGGCATGCGTGAGCGTGTTTGATAGGAGTGAATGGAGACAAATGGTTTTTAAATACTTGACGTGCTGTTGGAGTGTGAGCAAAGTAACATTTATGAAGGGATTCAGGGAAACCGGCAGGCCGGACTTGAGTCCTGGAGATGGGAAGTACAGTGCCTGCACTCTGAAGGAGGGGTGTTAATGTTGCAGTTAAAAACTGTAGTGTAAAACACCCTTCTGGCAAGACATGATGGAGTGAATGATGGTGAAAGTTTTTCTTTTTCGGGCCACCCTGGCTTGGTGGGAATCGGCCAGTGTGATAATAATAAAATAATAAAATTTTCAGCTGCTTTTTGGTCTAAACTGGCAGCCTCACCATGCCTTATCACACTATGTATGCCATTTCCGATTCTTAAATCCCCTAAAACCAACCTTTGCTGGCCTTAAATTCACTCACAATCACCACTAGTTGCGGGCCCATTTTTCTAATTAAATCTTCATGCAACTTCCTAGTCTTTTCACATATGATCGCTTGAGAGATGCTACTCCTGCATCTTTTTTTTCGTTTATCCACACCAATAACAGTCCCCTCAACATCTTTTATCACTTGCGATTTTAGTTTCGAAAACATGTTGCACCTTTGGCAAGAACAGCTTCCTTGATTGCCGTTTTTGTGGCCACAATAGTAGCGAGGGTTTTGATTGGGTTTTTTTGTGTACAACCTGGCCAGCCCCGGAGACACCCCAAAACCCACTTTCATACTTATCAATGATGTCTTTCTTCATATCCATAGAAAATTCTCACCCTTTTTGTTGAAAGGGTTGGCACTAGAAGCTTTTTTGGGGCCCATGGGACTTATTTTGCAGGTGCAATCACTAAAAACGCTGTGATAATATGAAATGTTCCGATTGAAATGTTTGGGTTTGGGACCGGGGTGGCTGGCGGGCTTGTAAACCTGGCCACATGGGGACGCGTCTGGGATGGAACGAATCGTTTTGGGTCGAGTTTTTTAGCGCTAGTCGAGGAAAATTTTTTGCTTTAAAATGTATTGCTAGCCCGGATTTAACGTTAGACGATCCCAAACGTTGGTCGAGGGCCACTGTTTTTTGTAGCCTAAATTTTAAATTTAAAAGGATTTATACATCAACAGACCAAATATGACTGCTGAATGGAAGACATATGGTGGCTCAAATAATGTAATATATGGATATATGATGTTCAGTGCAGAGTAATGGATTCATTAAACTTTGATTTTAGTTTGGCACTGGAGTAATTGGCAACCTTGTTTTTGGTGGTGATTTTGCTCCTTTACCGTACCTTTAACAGTAATATAAATTTCATATTAATAGCGTATTTTCCTTTGTATTAAAATGTTAAATGGTAAACAATTACAGCATAGAATTACTACATAGGGAGTAAAATTTAAAAGTAATGTAATTTTTTTTTTTTACCTTACAGGGTTTTGTCAAATTTGATATGATAAATCCATGCAAGTTTACTCCAAAAGCATTTTCTACTTTACTGATCACTAACCATCGATTATTACTCAGTAAAAAAAATAATTTATTTTTTTGCGGGGCAGCGTTGAGGAACGTCTTGCATTTCTGCTAAGGCCCGCCCACTTCTACAGCCAGTATTGGGTTTTTGAGTGAATACCAGCGTACTCTAAGGAAGTGTTGACATGGTTGTTGGGGGCAGGGGATCGATTGGCTGCCATGCCCCCAATTGCTGAAACAACTGAAGCAGTGAAAGAACAATTTCATGATTTAGAGGTACAGAAATAGTAGTTATACTTATTAGTTCATAAATAGAAAAATGTCTAATTTATGTTGTGGATGAAATCATTTTTTTTTTCCTGCCACATTTCCCCACAGAAAAAAAAAAGAGAGAGAACAGTATCTGCTGTATCTCTTTCATGATACCTCTAATAATGCTCAAGCATACCAGTCTTTTTTTACAATTTCTTTTAAATTATAAAATTGTTTTAAGGAATTAATGTTGGAGCTGACGTCGAAGCAGGGCGGCATTGGTGATGTACTTGGTGAAGGTTCACGGCTGATGAGAGAAGGGGTGATGGAGGAAGAGGAAGAAGAGGAAGTGAGAGTGCAGATGAAGCTCCTCAACACACGCTGGGAAGAGCTACGAGTCAAAGCTATGGACCGGCAGTCAAGGTATGTATTACAACCCAGCACAATAAGGCCTGTTATCCTGGGTGTAAAGGGGCACAAGGAGCAGAAGAAACACAGCTGAATGACTTCGAAATATATTTTCCTTCAAGAAAAATAGCAAGTATTGACAAGTATGTACACTATATACAGTTAGAAATGTATGTGTACGACACGGTTAATCAAATGCAAAGACAAAGCCTGGAGACATTGGACAACCGTGCTCAACCAGCTCTAGAATGGAAATGACAAGGGTGGACAAGTGAGGGGTTGACCACGTCACATCCACAATTGCCAGACACACTTTCTCATTGGCTGAACCAAGGTACTGATCGGACGATGGGGCTCCATCATCCGACTCTTAGTACTGGTTTGCTGGTTGGTGAGGTAGCCTTTCAATGATGGTGTGTACATGCGCCAAATAAAGGTTACATACTCTTTGCATGCCACAGTATGTAAAGTCAGAATACACAAATAACCTGCACATAAAAAGAGAAGCTTACGACGACGTTTCGGTCCGACTTGGACCATTGACAAAGTCACACTAACCAGAGGTGGACAGGATGGGTATATATAGGGAGGAAGAGGTGGGGGTAGTAGTAGTAGTAGTAGTACAAGAATTGTAATATAATACCGACAAGATTAAACTAAACACATGCACAACACCCGGTCATCCCCATCGTAACGTTTCGCCATCCAGCCAGCCACTGATGGGGAAACTCCACAACAAAGACAACCAAGATCCGCACATGTGTCTTAATTTCATCAGTAGTTGTAGTAGTAGTAAAGAAGAAGAGGTATGGTAGAAGTGGGAAATAAGAAGACGAGCCAGTCAAATACAAAGGAAGGGGGGCACTGCAAGAGAGCTAATGCCCACGGGATTATATACAATTCTTGTACTACTACTACTACTACTACTCCTCTACTACTACTACTACTACCACCACCTCTTCCTGCCCATATAAGCCGTCCTGCTCCACCTCTGGTTAGTGTGACTTTGTCAATGGTCCAAGTCGGACCGAAACGTCGTCGTAAGCTTCTCTCTTTTATTTATTTTTTTTTTCAACAAGTCGGCCGTCATTTGTGTATCGTTCCAGTCACGGTATTGTGCCTTTTTTGTTATTTAAAGTCAAAAAATATTTAAAATAATTTGAATTGTATTGCATTTGTATTTTAGGAGTTTTGAATGTTGAAGCAATTTTATACTGTATGTAAATCTTTCATAAAGTATTTAATACATAAATAAAAAGATATTTAAAATAATTTGAATTATAATTGTATTTGTATTTTAGGAGTTTTGAATGTTGTAAGCATTATATATTGTACGTAAATCTTACATGCAGTATTTAATATAAAATATATATTTCTTTACTTTTCAAATTTAAAAATTTTAAACTTTGTCTTTTGTAAATCTGAATTATATTATTGTACATCAAACTACAAAAATTGTAAAGATAATATTAGAGACCAGTAAAAAATGTAATTTTAAATTTTACTAGTTAAATTAAATTGTTCAAATCTGTGACTAGTATTTACACTAATACACTAAAGTATTACTTTGTAAACATTTGTCTTAAAAGTCAGTACAGTTTTTAGGCTGTAACATTCATGAAGCATTTGAGTGTTTCTTGCACTGAAATAAAGAATTTGTCAGAAGTATGAAGCTTGTTTCTTTAGAAAGATTCTTTACACATTCACTTTTTTAACCCTTTGCTGTCGAGACCTCTGATCACAAACCTGCTCTCAGTGTCGAAAAATATTCGAAATTTTTTTTTTTCTTAACGAAATCTTAAGAATATTTTTCTGAGTGTTTTAAAAGAAAAGAAAAAATTTGTGATCAGTATCTACCAAGATATAAAGGTATGAAGTTGACAAAGTGAACCGCTTACGGCAACATCGCTGACTGCCGCTCACTCGGTAATATTATTTTATTTTTTATTCCTTTTTTTTTCTTTTCTAATAATTTATTTTCTCAAGTAACTTTTGTGGCCTGTTTAGACCAATATAACGCATAATGTATATATATAACCACAATAACCGCACAATAGCCATTTATTTACAAAGCCTGTTTACTCAAACCCATGTTTTCCTTCCCCACCCATACGTATTCCCCCCCACCCATGCTGGAAATAAGTCACTTTGACTTTTTTTGGGTTATCCTAGGTTTCCTAAAACATGCTGCTGTGTATGATAATCGCGTAACTGTATTTGTGTATACCCGAATAAACTTTCTTACACCCCGTCTTCCCAACCACCCATGCTGTCTTCCCCACCCACACCATCATCCCCACCATCCATGCTGCCTTCCCCACCCACACCATCATCCCCACCATCCACGCTGCCTTCTCCACCATTCACACTGTTTTCCCCACACCCATGCTGCCTTCCCCACAGCCACACTGTCTTCCCCACCACCCACTCTGGAAATAAGTCACTTTGACTTTCTTGGGTTATCCTAGGTTCTCTACACATGCTGCTGTGTGTGATAATCCTGTACAGTAGATCCCTGGTTTTCGTAATTAATCCGTTCCAGAAGGTTGGCTGAAATCCGAAATGGTCGAAAACCAAAGTAATATTTCCCGTAAGAAATAATGTAGATCCAATTAATCAGTTTCAGACACCCAAATATATTAACAAAAAGATATTTTATAGAGAATAACTATAGGTTTACATACAGAAAACAATGAAAAATACATATAAATGATTAATTTTAATGATAAACGAACATTTCATACCTTTATTAAAGACTCTTGTTGGTGAGTAGTATTTATAGTCCCACAGGGACTACATCCCAGTGTATACCCACCAGCTACATACACTGCGGCCTACAGCCATATTATTACCATCGACATACCATGTTCATTGAGTTTAATCGTTTCTAACAACTACCTTTAGATGCCATCATAAACAAAGGGGGAAAGTAATGAATAATTCACGCCGAGAATTGTAAACCAAAGCCTTACGTACTATTAAGGGCGGTTACTAGGACAATGCAGATTCATGCACGTTTTCTCTGAAACTGGACCCCAGAGAAAACGTAATGTTTACCCTCCACCTGACCCCACCCCTCGATAGCACATAAACATTGCATGTTTATATGCTATGTAACGTGTTTCTTATAGTATAATTTGGAAGAAAATATCATAGATGATTAATGAAATGCTCAAGAGTGATTATTATTAAACATACATCACATATAAACATTGCATGTTTATATGCTATGTAACATGTTTCTTACATAATTTTGAAGAAAATATATCATAGTTGGATTAATGAAAATGCCTATATTAACTTTAAATAAGACATTTAATGTGTCCAAGAATGAGTCACAAATGTGTGAGTGGCCCAAGTGGACACGTCTGGTACCGTTAATTTCCGAGCCGATGTACGAAACCTAGGGGGAAATTTCGCCGAAAAAAGTACTTGAAATCTGAATTGTATGATTTCCTCACCAGCTGAAAACTGGGGGTCCACTGTAACTGTATTCGTGTATACCTGAATAAACTTAAACACCGTCTTCCCAACCACCCACACCATCTTCCCCACCATCCATCCTGCCTTCCCCAACACCCAAGCTGTCTTCCCCACCACCCAAGCTGCCTTCCCTTTTCACTATCTGTATCTGGTATCCCAGGCATTTCTTTCAGTCACAAACTCCTCAAAGTCATGAAATTCATCTTCACTGACACTTCCATCTGTGTTAGAACTATCACTTGGGAAGAGAAGAGTCCCAGATTCGCCAGGGAGTCAGATATTTCTTACTGCTAGGCATGCTGAACAAGGACTACTGAAATGGCATTCCCACAATGTACCACTGGCTCCCTGATTTTTTTTTTATACTTTGCACACTGACCACGCAGATCCATTCTCTCGCATGTAGGCCTACCAGCTTTCTCCCGCTAGATTTGAAGCCACTAGAATTTTGGCATAGTACTACGGCACCAACATTGGCTGATAAGCAGTAGTACTACGGCACCAACAGTGAAAGGGTTAAATCAGGAAAATTCCACCCTCCTCAAAAGTTGTGATGGTTGTAGATTGGTTAAAGTATAATTATTCTTTTCATTTTTTCATTAAGAGCTTTGGTCAATTTGTATAATTTTTTGTTACAGCCTACATGAGAAGTTGATGAGTCTTCAGCAGAAGCAGCTAGAAAGTCTAAAAAAATGGTTGACCGACACTGAAGATCGCATTGCCAATATGAGTCAGGTATATACATTGAAGATTTATAATGGTACAGTAGTTCATTAATAATATTAAACAACAAACTATTTTTTTTTATAGTATGTGCAGTAAACCCTCATAAGTCATGCAGTCATTTACTTTTTCATTACCATTAAGGCATGCAAGGGTGGCATTAATGTTGTACATTATCATTATGGAGCATTCCCTACTCCTTAGGTCAAGCCATTGTTTTGGTGTGGGGAGGTCATACATCACTGCTGGTGTCAACAAACTACATACCATACAATAGTCTCTCACTGGTTATTGATCTCTATTTTGATTCATTTCATCACTTTGATTGATCTGTGGATAATAATCATGGCACTCAAAAGAAATAAAAGTGATGCTGGAGATGCCAAGAAGACAATTAGGCATGAAACTCTTATAATTACTAAGAAAATTTGGGTTGAAATTGTAGTTAGAGTATGGGTGGGAGGTGGTGGTGGTGGTTGGTTGTGACTGTAGTTACTCACATGGGTAGTGTAATACATAATTACACATTCTTGTGCCTTAAACAGTCATTTACCTACCCTAGCTGCATTGGTATCATTGTTGAATATGTTGGTGATTGATAACTAAGTGTGAAAAAGTTATTAAAAGAGAAAATAGTGTAGAATTCGTAACTCAGTGAAGACAGAGGCCACAAGTGGAGGCCATGTGTTACCATTTTGGACAGTAAGTGCCCATGTCAAGAGGACAAGAGTTCCAGAGAGAACAGAGGATATTTGTGACTGATGCTAAGGTGAGAATGAGAAGTCCACACTTGACAAAGGTTGGCAAAGAAGTTCCTAAGTGCCACATCATCTATATCTTCACACTTCTGTATGAAGTTGTTGTGACTGTTAGTGATTTTGAAGGTCATACATGCTCACACTTCCTGCATTCTGTGGAACGATGAGCTGCATTGAATTGAAAATGGCACTGATTGGTAAAACATCTTCAAATTTTAGATATTGAGGTGTTGCATATGTACCCAGTTCATCAACTTGTATTCTATTCCAGTAATGTTATGAAAGAAATACCAGTAAATTCTTAAACCGAGTCAACAACTTGCTTCCCCCAGGCCTTAGAAATGGAGGTCGAATGAATGCAACCCAGTTTTTCCTGTTTTTTCACTCCAAAAGTAGTAGGTTGGTAGACAGCAACCACCCACGGAGATACTACTGTCCTGCCAAATGAATATAAGATGGAAACCTGTATTTGTTTTAGTTGATGGTAGGAGTGCTGATGACCTTTTTCTGTCGCACAAACACACAAGATAGCTGGTATATCTTGCTACTTTTACTTACAGTTAGGTCATACTACACATGCATGTACACATTGATGTATACACACACTCACATGAGTTTTTCCTTCAATTTCCTTAATAGTTCTTGTTCTTATTATTTTCCTTTTATATCCATGAGGAAGTGGAATAAGAATTTGTCCTCTGTAAGCCATGCGTGTTGTAAAAGTCAACTAAAATGCCAGGAGCAATGGGCTAGTAACTTCTTTTCCCATACAGCTTAATAAAAATAAAGAAAAGAAAACCTTTAAGTTGAAACATTTGAATGTGTGTGGATGTAGTGCAGATTAGAAAGAGATGATAGTGGATGTTATGAATGAAAAGAAGCTGGATGTCCTGGCATTTAGTGAAGCAAAGCTGAAGGGGGTAGGAAAACTTAAGTGGGAAGAAATAAATGAGATTAGGTCAGGGGTTTCTAATGGACTTAGAGCTACGGAGGGAGTAGCAATAATGTTGAAGAATCAGTTATGGCAAGAAAAGAGGGAATATAAATGTATAAATTCAAAGATTATGTGGAGTAATAAAAGGGTGGGATGTGAAAAGTGGGTTATAGAAAGTGTTTATGCACATGGAGAAGAGAGAAGCGTAGAGGAGAGCGAGAAAGATTTTGGGAGATGTTGAATGAGTGCCTGGGGAGTTTTGAACCAAGTGAGAGAGTGCTTGTGGTGGGGGATGTAAATGGGTAAAACTGTTGTGGAGGGAGTAGTAGGTAAGTTTAGGTGCCAGGGGACAATGAAAATGGGGGGGGTCTTTAGTTGAACTTTGTACAGAAGAAGGTTTGGTAATAAGTAATACATATTTTTAAGAAAAAGAGCATAGGTGTACAAGACATGATATATCATGTAATGAAAATAGTTTGCTAGGTTATGTATTGTTGGATAAAAGGTTGATGGGTAGACTTCAGAATGCGCATGCTTATAGAAGGGCAACAGATATATTGGGTCATTATTTAGTTGTTGCTACATTTAGAGTAAGAGGTAGATGGAGCGAAAGGAAAATGACAATAGCAAATAAGAGAGAGGTAAAAGTTTATAAACTAAAGGAGGAAGTTGGGGTGAGATATAAGCAACTACTGGGAGAAAGGTGGGCAATTGAGAGTATAAGTAGTGGGGGGGTTTAAGAATGGTGGGATAGTTTTAAAAAGGCAGTGTTAGAATGTGGAGCAGAAGTTTGTGGCTATAGGAGGGTGGGTGCAGGAGGAAAGAGGAGTGATTGGTGGAATGATGAGGTAAAGGGTGTGATAATAGAGAAAAAGGTTGCTTATGAGAAGTTTTTACAGAGCAGAAGTGATATAAGAAGGTGGAGTATATGGAGAGGTGAAGAGAAAGGTGAGGGAATGCAAAAGGAGAGCAAATGATAAAGTGGGTGAGGTGCTGTCAACAAATATTGCTGAGAATAAGAAAAATTTTTGGAGATCAGTATGTTGAAGAAAGCTTAGGGAATGAATGGATTTGATAGTTAAGAACAGAATAGAGAAGTTAGTAGATGGGGAGTTGGAGGTATTGGGAAGATACCTGGAGAGGGTTTTGGGGGTCAATGCCCCCACAACCCAGTCTGAAACCAGGCCTCATGGCCTGGGAATATTTTGAGGAACTGTTAAATGTTGATGAAAAGAGGGAGGCATTAATTCCATGCATTGGCCAGGGAGGTATAACATCTTATAGGAGTGAAGAAGAGCCAGATGTTAGTGTGGGGGAGTTGCTTGAGTCATTAGGTAGAATACAAGGGGGTAAAGCAGATAGAACTGATGGGATCATGGCAGAATTGTTAAAAGCAGGGGGGATATAGTTTTGGAGTGGCTGGTACTTTTGTTAAATAAATGTATGAAAGAGGGAAGGTACCTAGGGATTGGCAGAGAGCATGTATAATTCCTTTATATAAAGGGAAGGGAGACAAAAGAGATTGTAAAAATTATAGAGGAATAAGTTTACTGAGTATACCAGGAAAAGTGTACGGTAGGGTTATAATTGAAAGAATTAGAGGTAAGACAGAATGTAGGATTGCGGATGAGCAAGGAGGTTTCAGAGTGGGTAGGGGATGTGTAGATCAAGTGTTTACATTGAAGCATATATGTGAACAGTATTTAGATAAAGGTAGGGAAGTTTTTATTGCATTTATGGATTTAGAAAAGGCATATGATAGAGTGGATAGAGGAGCAATGTTGCGGATGTTGCAAGTATATGGAATAGGTGGTAAGTTACTAAATGCTGTAGTAGGGTGTGTAGAAGAGAGGGAGACTACTTCCCGGTAAAAGTAGGTCTTAGACAGGGATGTGTAATGTCACCATGGTTGTTTAATATATTTATAGATGGGGTTGTAAAAGAAGTAAATGCTAGGGTGTTTGGGAGAGGGATAGGATTAAATTATGGGGAATCAAATACAAAATGGGAATTGACACAGTTGCTTTTTGCTGATGATACTGTGCTTATGGGAGATTCTAAAGAAAAATTGCAAAGGTTAGTGGACGAGTTTGGGAGTGTGTGTAAAGGTAGAAAGTTGAAAGTGAACATAGAAAAGAGTAAGGTGATGAGGGTATCAAATGATTTAGATAAAGAAAAATTGGATATCAAATTGGGGAGGAGGAGTATGGAAGAAGTGAATGTTTTCAGATATGTACTTGGGAGTTGACGTGTCGGCGGATGGATTTATGAAGGATGAGGTTAATCACAGAATTGATGAGGGAAAAAAGGTGAGTGGTACGTTGAGGTATATGTGGAGACAAAAAACGTTATCTATGGAGGCAAAGAAGGGAGTGTATGAAAGTATAGTAGTACCAACACTCTTATATGGGTGTGAAGCTTGAGTTGTGAATGCAGCAGCGAGGAGGCGGTTGGAGGCAGTGGAGATGTCCTGTCTAAGGGCAGTGTGTGGTGTAAATATTATGCAGAAAATTCGTAGTGTGGAAATTAGGAGAAGGTGTAGAGTTAATAAAAGTATTAATCAAAGGGCTGAAGAGGGTTTGTTGAGGTGGTTTGGTCATTTAGAGAGAATGGATCAAAATAGAACGACATGGAGACCATTTAAATCTGTAGAAGGAAGGCTGGGTAGGGGTCATCCTCGAAAAGGTTGGAAGGAAGGGGTAAGGGAGGTTTTGTGGGCAAGGGGCTTGGACTTCCAGCAGGCGTGCGTGAGCGTGTTCAATAGGAGTGAATGGAGACGAATGGCATTTGGGACCTGACGATCTGTTGGAGTGTGAGCAGGGTAATATTTAGTGAAGGGATTCAGGGAAACGGTTATTTTTAAATAGCCGGACTTGAGTCCTGGAAATGGGAAGTACAATGCCTGCACTCTAAAGGAGGGGTTCGGGATATTGGCAGTGTGGAATGATATGTTTATGTATCTTTATACGTAAATGCTTCTAAACTGTTGTGTTTCTGAGCATCTCTGCAAAAACAGTGATTGTGTGAATGAGGTGAAAGAGTTGAATGATGATGAAAGTATTTTCTTTCTTTTTGGGGTCACCCTGCCTTGGTTGGAGATGGCTGACTCGTAAAAAAAAAAAAAGTTTACTGAGTATACCGGTAAAGTGTATGGTAAGGGTATTATTGGAAGAATTGGAGATAAGACAGAGAGCAGGATTGCAGATGAACAAGGAGGCTTTAGAATGGGTAGGGGATGTGTAGATCAAGTGTTTACATTGAAGAATATAAACGAACAATATTTAGATAAAGGTAGGGATGTTTTCATTGTATATACGGATTTAGAAAAGGCATATGATAGAGTGGATAGGGAAGCGATGTTGCAGGTGTATGGAAGGGGTAGTAAGTTACTAAATGCTGTAGAGTTTTTATGAGGGGAGTGAGGGTCAGATTAGGGTGTGTAGGAGAGAGGGATATAGCTTTCCAGTAAAAGTAGACCTTAGACAGGGATGTGTATTGTCACCATGGTGGTTTAACATATTTAGAGATGGAGTTGTGAAAGAAGTAAATGCTAGGGTGTTGGGGAGAGGGGTGGGATTAAATTATGGGGAATCAAATACAAAATGGGAGTTGACAGTTATTTTTTTGTTGATGATACTGTGCTTTTGAGAGATTATACAGAGAAGTTGCAAAGGTTAGTTGACGAGTTTAGGAGGATGTATAAAGTTGAAAGTGAATACAGATAAGTAAGGTGATGAGGGTATCAAATGAGTTAGATAAAGAAGAATTGGATATCTCAGTGGAGGGAAGGAGTATGGAAGAAGTGAATGTGTTCAGATATTTTGGAGTAGATTTGTCAGCAGATGGGTTTATGAAGAATGAGGTAAATCATAGAATTATTGAAGTAAAAAAGGTGAGTGGTGCATTGAAGTATCTGTGGAGACATAAAACTATCCATGGAGGCAAAGAAGGGAATGTACGAGAGTATAGTGGTACCAACACTTATATGGGTGTGAAGCATGGGTTGTAAATGCTGCAGTGAGGAGGCAGCTGGAGGCAGTGGAGATGTTGTGCCTAAGGGCAATGTGTGGTGTAAATATTATGCAGAGAATTCGTAGTGTGGAAATTAGGAAGAGGTGTTAAGTTACTAAAAGTATTGTTCAGAGGGCTGAAGAAGGGTTATTGAGGTGGTTTGGTCATTTAGAACAGATAGAGAAAATAGGTTGACTTGGAGGGTGTATAAATCTGTAGGGTAGGGGAGGAGGGGTAGAGGTCTACCTAGGAAAGGATGGAGGGAAGGGGTAAAAGAGATTTTGTGTGCAAGGGGCCTGGACATGCAGGAGGCATATGTGAGCATGTTAGATAGGAGTGAATGGAGTCGAGTGGTTTTTGGGATCTTACGAGCTGTTGGAGTGTGAAGGGATTCAGGGAAACCGGTTAGCCGGACTTGAGTTCTGGAGGTGAGAAGTACAGGGGTCTAGGATATTGGCTGTTTGGAGTGATCAAAATTGCATTATAATTTAAACTAGTGCAGCAGATATCAGTTCATTCACTGGACATTCAGTATACCTGGAGAGGGTTTCAGGAATCAAAGCCCCCATGGCCTGGTCTGTAACCAGGCCTCAACTGAGAATAATTAATTAAAACTTTTTGTTTCTTAGAGAGTTGCAATATTTTGGTCTTAAAAATTTGATAAAAAAAATAAAAATCTTTGGTATATATCTTAAAGCATGTACAGTACAATACTGAAAGGTAAATATTATATTAACATTAACCTCCTTCAGGTTGGACCAACAGCAGAAGCCCTAAGAGAACAAATTTTGGCTCATCAAAACCTTCAACAAGATTTAGAAAATGAACAGTCAAACATTAATTCACTCTCCAATATGGTAGTGGTTGTAGATGAAACTAGCTCAGAAAGTGGTGAGTATGTACTAGTGTATTGAAAGAGAAATCAGTCTTATAGACAGATCTTTAATAAAATAACATTTAGTGCTTCAGATGAAGTGTGTGTTCTGCATATTGGCTCCATATTCTTATTGTTTAATATTAAAACATTGTTGTTATTAAAATGTTTCATATATTATATATTTATGCTTAGGGGTCACATGCTCTTTTTTTTTTTTTTCCTCAACGCTTCGGCTGTCTCCCACTGAGGCAGGGTGACCCCCAAAAGAAAAAATCCCCAAAAAGAAAATACTTTCATCATCATTCAACACTTTCACCTCACTCACACATAATCACTGTTTTTGCAGAGGTGCCCAGAATACAACAGTTTAGAAGTATATACATATAAAAATACACAATATATCCCTCCAAACTGCCAATATCTCAAACCCCTCCTTTAGAGTGCAGGCATTGTACTTCCCATTTCCAGGACTCAAGTCCCGTTATATAAAATAACCGGTTTCCATGAATCCCTTCACTAAATATTACCCTGTTCACACTCAACAGATTGTCAGGTCCCAAATACCATTTGTCTCCATTCACTCCTATCTAACATGCTCACGCACACTTACTGGAAGTCCAAACCCGTTGCCCACAACACCTCCTTTACCCCCTCCCTCCAACCTTTTCAAGGATGACCCCTACCCCGCCTTCCTTCTCCTACAGATTTATACACTCTCCATGTCATTTACTTTGCTCCATTCTCTCAAATGACCAAACCCCTCAACAACGCTCTTAAACCCTCTGACTAATACTTTTATTAACTCCACACTTTTCTTTCTTTCAACACACCAGCCGTATCCCACCGAGGGGGGGTGGCCCAAAAGGAAAAACGAAAGTTTCTCCTTTTACATTTAGTAATATATACAGGAGAAGGGGGTTACTAGCCCCTTGCTCCCGGCATTTTTTGTCGCCTCTTACAACACGCATGGCTTACGGAGGAAGAATTCTGTTCCACTTCCCCCTGGAGATAAGAGAAATAAACAAGATATAAGAACTAGAAAGAAAATAGAGAAAACCCAGAGGGGTTTGCATATTGTGCTTGTACATGTATGTGTAGTGTGACCTAAGTGTAAGTAGAAGTAGCAAGACGTACCTGAAATCTTGCCATGTTCATGAGACAGAAAAAAGGACACCAGCAATCCTACCATCATGTAAAACAATTACAGGCTTTCGTTTTACACTCACTTGGCAGGACGGTAGTACCTCCCTGGGCGGTTGCTGTCTACCAACACCTTCTCCTAATTTCAACACTCCGAATTTTCTGCATAATATTTACACCACACATTGCCCTTAGACAGGACGTCTCCACTGCCTCCAACCGCCTCCTCGCTGCAGCATTTACAACCCAAGCTTCACACCCATATAAGAGTGTTCTTACTACTATACTTTCATACATTCCCTTCTTTGCCTCCATAGATAACATTTTTTGCCTCCACATATACCTCAATGCACCACTCACGTTTTTTCCTTCATCAATTCTATGATTAACCTCATCCTTCATAAATCCATCCGCTGACACGTCAACTCCCAAATATCTGAAAACATTCACTTCTTCCATACTCCTCTTCCCCAATTTGATATCCAATTTTTCTTTATCTAAATCATTTGATGCTCTCATCACCTTACTCTTTTCTATTTGCATATTACTTTATTTTAACTATTCTCTAGTGTCCTGATGATATTTTTAAAATGCCAGAAAGTATTGACTGGTAGCACTAAGACATTGTGTTCCAAAGAATTGAAATTCATTCACCACTCATTTCCTGGCTGTCATTCCAGAAGTGCATGCACATCATAATTCAAATGATGTGTCAAACTGCAACATCCTCACCCATCCTTCATTACCTCTGTATACAGTGGAACCTCAAAATTCGAACTTAATCCGTTCCAGGAGCTAGTTCTAAATTCGAAAAGTCTGAAATTCGAAGCAATATTTCCCATAAGAAATAATGGAAATACAATTAATCCGTTCCAGAAACCCAAAAATATTCACACAAAAAATACATTTTATAGAGATTAATTACAGTTTTACATTCAACAAATACTATATGTTTTAATTATGTATAGTAATTTTTTTTTATTTTTTTTTATTATCACACTGGCCGATTCCCACCAAGGCAGGATGGCCCGAAAAAGAAAAACTTTCACCATCATTCGCTCCATCACTGTCTTGCCAGAAGGGTGCTTTACACTACAGTTTTTAAACTGCAACATTAATACCCCTCCTTCAGAGTGCAGGCACTGTACTTCCCATCTCCAGGACTCAAGTCCGGCCTGCCGGTTTCCCTGAATCCCTTCATAAATGTTACTTTGCTCACACTCCAACAGCACGTCAAGTATTAAAAACCATTTGTCTCCATTCACTCCTATCAAACACGCTCACGCATGCCTGCTGGAAGTCCAAGCCCCTCGCCCCACAAAACCTCCTTTACCCCCTCCCTCCAACCCTTCCTAGGCCGACCCCTACCCCGCCTTCCTTCCACTACAGACTGATACACTCTTGAAGTCATTCTGTTTCGCTCCATTCTCTCTACATGTCCGAACCACCTCAACAACCCTTCCTCAGCCCTCTGGACAACAGTTTTTGTAATCCCGCACCTCCTCCTAACTTCCAAACTACGAATTCTCTGCATTAAAATTCACACCACACATTGCCCTCAGACATGACATCTCCACTGCCTCCAGCCTTCTCCTCGCTGCAACATTCATCACCCACGCTTCACACCCATATAAGAGCGTTGGTAAAACTATACTCTCATACATTCCCCTCTTTGCCTCCAAGGACAAAGTTTCTTGTCTCCACAGACTCCTAAGTGCACCACTCACTCTTTTTCCCTCATCAATTCTATGATTCACCTCATCTTTCATAGACCCATCCGCTGACACGTCCACTCCCAAATATCTGAATACGTTCACCTCCTCCATACTCTCTCCCTCCAATCTGATATTCAATCTTTCATCACCTAATCTTTTTGGTAAACCTCATAACCTTACTCTTTCCTGTATTCACCTTTAATTTTCTTCTATTGCACACCCTACCAAATTCATCCACCAATCTCTGCAGCTTCTCTTCAAACTCCCAAGAGCACAGTGTCCATCAGCAAAGAGCAGCTGTGACAACTCCCACTTTGTGTGTGATTCTTTATCTTTTAACTCCACGCCTCTTGCCAAGAGACCCTCGCTTTTAAACTTCTCTTAAAACCCCCATCAATAAATATATTAAACAACCACGGTGACATCACACATCCTTGTCTAAGGCCTACTTTTACTGGGAAAAAATTTCCCTCTTTCCTACATAACTCTAACTTGAGCCTCACTATCCTCGTAAAAACTCTTCACTGCTTTCAGTAACCTACCTCCTACACCATACACTTGCAACATCGCCACATTGCCCCCCTATCCACCCTGTATACGCCTTTTCCAAATCCATAAATGCCACAAAGACCTCTTTAGCCTTATCTAAATACTGTTCACTTATAAGTTTCACTGTAAACACCTGGGCCCCCCACCCCCTACCTTTCCTAAAGCCTCCTTGTTCATCTGCTATCCTATTCTCCTCTTACTCTTAATTCTTTCAATTATAACTCTACCATACACTTTAACCAGGTACACTCAACAGACTTACCCCTATAATTTTTGCACTCTCTTTTATCCTCTTTGCCTTTATACAAAGGAACTATCATGCTCTCTCCCAAACCCTAGGTACCTTACCCTCTTCCATACATTTATTAAATAATTGCACCAACCACCCAAAACTATATCCCCACCTGCTTTTAACATTTCTATCTTTATCCCATCAATCCCGGCTGCCTTACCCCCTTTCATTTTACCTACTGCCTCACGAACTTCCCCCACACTCACAACTGGCTCTTCCTCACTCCTACAGATGTTATTCCTCCTTGCCCCATAACACGAAATCACAGCTTCCCTATCTTCCCTCAACATTTAACAATTCCTCAAAATATTCCCTCCATCTTCCCAATACCTCTAACTCTCCATTTAATAACTCTCCCTCCATTTTAACTGAAAAATCCATTTGTTCTCTAGCTTTCTTAACTTGTTAATCTCACTCCAAAATTTTTTTCTTATTTTCAACAAAATTTGTTGAAACACCACCCACTCTCTCATTTCTCTCTTTTTACATTGCTTCACCACTCTTTTAAACCTCTCTTTTTTTCCCATATACTCTTCCCCCTTGCATCACTTCTATTTTGAAAAAATTTCTCATATCTGACTTTTTCTCCCTTACACTCTTTTTACTCTTCATTCCACCAATCACTCCTCTTCCCTCCTGCACCCACTTTTCCCGTAAACCCCAAACTTCGCTGAACACTCTAACACTACATTTTTAAAAACCCACCCCATACCCCTTCGAACCCCATTTCCTATGCTCTCATTAGCCCATCTATCCCCAATGCTGTTTTTTATCTTCCCTAACGCCTCCTCTTTTAGTTTATAAACCTTTACCTCTCTCTTCCCTGATGCTTCTATTCTCCTTGTATCCCATCTACCTTTTACTCTCAGTGTAGCTACAACTAGAAAGTGATCTGATATATCTGTGGCGCCTCTATAAACATGTATAGTAATACATATAAAATAACATTTTTTTTACCTTAATTGAAAATTGGGATGGCATCTGGAAGATAGGGAGGTTAGTGTTCACTCAAGCATAAACAAAGCTAGACTGCTCACGGTGCCTGCGCGGGGACGTGGACAGAGCGGGTGGCAGACAGGTCCTGTACCCAGCGGTCCGAAAATAGGGGCGCGTTTGATAATAGGGACACAGTTTGTCCGAAAAAATGGTCCTATTTTCGAAATGTTCGATATGTGATACGTTCGATTTTTGAGGTTCCACTGTAGTCATAAAATGAAGCATCTATAATGTGTGAGCATGTTAGATAGGAGTGGTGGAGGGAAGTAGTATTTGTGATTTGATGTGCTGTTGGAGTGTGATAAAGTAACATTTATGGGGG